GCTTCTTGGCAAATAATAATAATGATGATTTTAAAAAAAAAAGATCTGAATGGCTCATAAAAATGTGTAAATGTGTAAACTTATGTTTTGATGTAAACATCTGCATTTTGTTTGCATGTATTTATGATGCTGCACAGACACAGATGCACACAGGAGGCTGGTGATTAACGTGGCTTGAGCCTGGCGCCAACAAGAGAGGAGTGACTGCTGGCTTCTAACTTTATTTATTTTGCATGGTACCATGCAAATGACTTTGAAAGGTTTAATGAGAAGAAAACAGAGGGGAAATGAACAAAGATGAGTTGCCTCAAGGAAATCATTACCACACATCATTACTCTTGACTACACACTGCAGTGAAAGTGGATGCTCTAAGATACTCACAATCCAGAAAGAAAGCATTTAAATGGGGCATTTAATTTAAATTTTCATTGGTTAATTTGCCCATATACATTCAGTCATCCTCCGGTCAGACAAGGGACAGACGTCTATGAGCTTTTAATGTGAAGAGCTCTCACAAAGCAACAGCATCCAACAAAGTGGACGCAGAGGGACGTCCCAGATAAAGCACCGAGGAGTCATTTGTAGCGCAAAATAATAGCCCCACCTCGTCCCTCAGTGCGTGCAGGGTCTGCCTATTATTCTATTATATTTTGCTGTGTTTTTGTTTTGCTTTTCAGAACCTGTATTTAGAGCAACACAGAAAAGAAGAGGGGCCAGTATTTCAGTCTTCTCTATTGAGAAAAAAAAAGAAAGAATTTATAGTGGGGGATGAAGATGAAGAAGAAGAAGCTTAATGAGAATCAATTTAGGGTTCTTTTATTTCTGTGTAGTCTTGGAGTAAAAGGAGAGGAAAAGCAGAAGACAAGGGGGGGCAGTCATCAACAATGTTCAGGTCTGGGTTTGTATCCAGGACATGGTTTGTAAATGGCATGCCCTTTAATCAAGAAGCCGCTAGCGACCTTTACCTTTAGCCCTATATGTACTCCTATACACTGTGTCTGCTTAAAATAGCTACATGAAAAAGTGAGTCTGATCTACAAGCAAAGGCTTTAGTGTTAAGGTTTGATGGGCACTGGTGATATACCGGTTTAAAACTGAACCAGCAAGCCTGGTAAATCTTTATTTTGTTACATTTTTATACAGCTTTAGATTAAAGTGGATCTGTTTTGTGTTTCCTTCTTTTCTATAAACATATACTTTTACATCGGGGGAAATCATAATAAACATGGCCAAAGTTTGAAATAATGAGATCAGCATATGTCGGTGTTTGTTATCCCGGTGAGGCACAAGCTCGGGCTTGAGACAGCTCTACACACTTTCTATTCTGCAAGAAGTCAGAGAGAGGGGATATCCCATCTAAGGCACACGGTTCTGGCTGTAAGCACCAAAGTCCCACTCCCTTCTGCTCTGAACTGTCTGTTTAAAAGGAGCAGCCAATCAGGACAAAGCTAGCTTAAAGGGAATCCAGATCTAAGAGTAGAAATATGGACCTGGAAATGAAAATGTTGCGTTGACTTTGTGACTTTTTTCCAAGTTTAAACATTAACCTTCCTGTCTGAGTTTGGACAAACAAGGGGAATAAACCTTAGCAGAAAAAGAAGGCCCAGACCTCCACCTTTTGTGGTGTCCTATGGGATGTGTAGACATTCTTACGAGGGCCTATCACAGGATATCCTCTGCTCTTTCAGCTGTGAACATTTTTTTAATCGGTCTCTTAGAGTTCTCATTATTTAGCAAGGTCAGCCCGACATTATGGCCAGAATTACGCCACATTAACAACTGATAACTGTCGTATTGTCAGTTATGTGACACAAAAACAGAATATCAGCCTCATCAGGGGGTCATATATTTATAAACCAGAATTTTTTCAATGTGACAAAAAAGAAATACGTCCTTAAAGAGTCCTGGTTTATAAGCATATAAAGCCTTAACGACTTTTCTTTTAAACCCACAGCTCTCCTCTAGCATATCCACAACACAAGACTCAAGAGAATATCACAAACTTTCCTCAAAGCATCTGAATCTCCCTTTGTTAAAGATTTCCATCAGATATAAACTGACACAGGAGTGCCAGTGAAAATACAAAGAGGATATGCTGTCATTTTAGAAAGGAGCATGGGCAGTAACAATTAATAACACGGATTTAAACTGATATAACACTGCAAAAATCTTAGTTTGACCAAAAGTTTTTTTTTAAATGTGTTTAAACCATAATTTTACTGTTAGATTTTATAAACAGAAGCTGAAAATCTACCTGTGGGAGAAGCAGGAACACGTGAACGTGTAGCATTATTTCACTAGCTTACCTTAAAAAATGAGTTAAACATGGATCAACATCATATGTTGCTGCCGTTTGAGAAACAGAAATGATGTTCAGCTGTAGCATTCTTTTGGTTTTTCATCACTTTTGCAAGCATTACATTTGTTGAACATATACAGGGGGAAGTGAAGATGAGCGACAGAGGTACAAATGTGGCCAGACTTCACCCGGGAAACCCACTGAAAAGATGTGAACTAAATATACACCAAATAAAGAGGAAGAGTTGATCAAAATGTGCTTTTTAACTGTCTGCAGTCACTCACATTGATCACAGTCTGTAACAGAGGCAATCGTGGTCATATCTGATTCCATATGTCTCATGTTCTTCCTTAAAAATAGCACTGTATGCTAACATTGCCCACATTACACTATAGTATTACTTTTAACAGCATGCTAATATTCAAACTCTAGGGAAACAATCTGTTTTGGTGCTTCAGTTTAAAAAAAAAAAACCCATTAGTGCTCATGTAGACACAGGTATCTACTCCACCAGAGAAATGGGCTTAAAATGTCAGCATCTGCCAAGTCTGTCTCTCGTCCATCAGTCCCCTCACTCTCTGTGTTTCTTTCCTATTAGTCCCCTCTCCTCTGTGGCCAGGCATAGGCCATCCCTCATCCTCACTGGATCCAGTAATTTCTCATTCGTTTTTAAATCAGACATGATGCACACAGCGGGCTAGAGCAGCTGAGCATTTCCATCCTCTTGATGGAGAGGAGCTCAAATGCAGTCAGAATCTTTCTTTCCTCATCAAAAACACTAGGGACTTCCTTTTTTAAATTATTTCCATTAGTAAATAACAACAATAACCTCCGCTCAATTTCATTTCTTCTTCAAGTCTTTTGCTATAATTCATGTATTTTTTAAAAGCTCTAAATATTAATTTAGTGGGATAAACCTCTCTGGGATTGAAGGGCATGAAATGAAACCCACTCTATTTAATTCCCACCACTTCCTGCTTTTAATACCACAATAAAATGACTGCGCCCGCAACGCAGAGCTGCCACTTCCTGTTTTTAATCACATTTCGGGACAATCACATTTTGAGATCACTAGGTGAGCCCGGCAGTCAGTGACAGGTGGTCTGAACACCAGTTTTCTTCTGCATGCAAAACACACTGCACAGCATGCGTAGCTCATAGCCTGCACTCAATGACCCCCAAGTCACAGCTGCTCTCACCCAACCCCGATCCACTCTGTAGCTAGGAGTGGTTAAGCCAAACTGCACAAGAGATGCTCACATAACAGACCCTGATTATGTGCATCTGTTAACCTAAGCTAGATTTAAATGAACGTATAGGAAGATTTTGGTCTTATTAAGCTCCAAGGTCAACTGGGACTGGCTAGTAAATAGTGTCAGTCTCAGTTTCAAGCAGTGAAGTATTCAGTCTTGCTGGTCCAGCATCTTTAAAGGCAAATGATTACATTAATTGCACATTCAAAGTGGAGGCCTTTATTATTCATGTTGGGACTGCTTTGTCCTTTTTAAATGCTTTTATTTGTTTTGTGGCAGACAGACTATACCTACAATAAACTGTATGGATATTCACAGTGGATATTCCATTTTCTTCCAACACGAGCTTCCTATCTGTAATATTTTGAAGCAGTCTAATTACAAGTTGTTTTTTGGTTTTTGTTTTTGTTTTCTTGCCTTCTTCTTCATTTTAGGGTGGACTGTGACGAAGAAATCTCTCAGCGGGAATGCTGTTCAGAGGCTGTTTAGAGGCTGTCACGCCCGGAAGGCGGGTGGGGTATGGGGTATGGGTTGAGGGGGGGAGACATTGCTGACTAGCCTTAATTTTGCGTTCAATTCACAACTTCTCGACGCTTTTGAATCGTCTTATGGAGGATCTAAGGAAGAATACTGCGGCAGTTGATCGAGTATTAATCACCAGATGGCTTTCCCTTTAGAAAAGAGAAAGAAATCTAGTGATGTGGCTCCCTCCATCCAGACGCCTGCCTCTCTCTCTCTCCCGCGCCTCCAAGACGCGCCAACACATCCTCACCTGGATGCGCACAAACAAACGCACACACACACACACACACACACACACGTCACCCCTATACTAACAATCAGAGTATTACCGCCCGTTCACACACGCACGCACGAACGCACAAACGCACACACAAAAACACACAACCGTGCTGCATTTACGGACTCGTATAATCCGTAAACATGCAGATGTTTCCCATCAGGGCCATGCAGATTAAGACGCCAAACACTGCCGCCCCTGTCACCGCTGTGCTGTAGATATTTTTGATTAACAGCGCCGTGCATGCTTCAGCATCAATAGTCAGCTGATGCGGGCTTGTTTTCTGGTGAAATATTTATACGGGCATGTCACGACTGTACACGAGCTGTGGGTTGTTACTGCGTGGCGATGTGGCGATATCTGCACGGATCTTTTACGTTTGGGGCTAAAATACGGGCCTCGCATTGAATGACGCGAGCCGCGAGGCTTCAAGGTTGAACAATTTGGCTAGTGAACACACGGCGGCTCGCTGTCACCCGTGCACTCTGGTGAAATTTACGCGTAAAAATGCCCGACGTCCCTCCGCAATATATCATGTTTTCCTTTGCTAATAAGGCAGACCATAACCACGACAGCTGTCTACGTGGGCTAAACGGTTTTGTGATTTATGCAGCAAAAACAAAACACAAATGAAGGTGTGATACCTACCTTGATAGCTGTAGAGTCTACGGCTGGCGCAGAGGTAGACTGTGCCGATCGCCTAAACCAGTTGCCCAGACTCGTAAAAAAATCAGACAACAACAAAACCACGCCGGTTGTTGATGACACAGCTGTCTTGGTAAACAGGAGGGAAGGGAAATGAATCCTTTCCCAGATGTGTCAATTGACGTGGAAATAAAAAATTAGATATTCAGACGCCGATCACCGGACTGACGCCTTTTCTTGACGTGAAAGGTCTTCCATTTTTAGGGGGATAAACGGCGCACTGTACTACCGAGGATCGCTGTAGACTGGCCGGTGCGAGATCTTATTGAAAACCAATATGCAATTCAATGCGACGTTAAAATCCTCCCCAGCCGACATCATTCTTGTGTCTGTGTTTCTTTCAAAATCATCCGCAAAAGAAACACGCTCACAAATGCGGGGATGAACAGAAAGAAGAAGAAAAAAAACGTCAAAACAAAAAAATGCGCAGATGTCAGCGCGCTGTGGTGGTTCAAGCGCTGGGCATCCTCACTGAGCATTTGCATCCATATTAATATTCATACAGTACTTCCTGAGAGCAACCCAGTGGTTGTTTTGAGAAAAACTGATTCCTGTTATCCTGCTATTTATCTCTCAGTGAAAGTGAAAGCCACAGAAACTGCTCATATTAACAGGACACTCATTAAATGTCCTTACTTTTTTTAAAAGGCTTTTTATGCAAACAACAAAAAGCCCTTTTATTTCACCAGAGTGCTGTGATGTGCAAAAACAAAGTCAGCCTGCCATATAAAAACATTGTAGGAGGATCGCGGTGATGTAATGGAGGATAAAATACTATTAAGTATAAAATAAGCTCGCCAAAAAGCCCGCGCTGAGTACCACAAAGTAGGCTAAGCCGTCAGAGGAATATTAACATTTTGTATTAACTGCCTCCAGATGACCATGCAGTGAAAGCAAAAAATATTAGAGGACATCATAATATTAAATGTGAAAATACCCACTGTTGAGTGCAGATCTATTTTCTTTCATATTTCCCGGTGATGTGATCAAACACTGGCATTTTCTTTTTTCTTTCTTTTTTTTTTTTTTAAGGTGGTCGTCACATGACCAACTAGCCAACACATGGCCTGTGTGAGGCTGACACGCCCCCTAAAGTCAACGGGAGACTATGTGGGTGACTGGGTTGGAGTTAAAAGTGAATCTTTCAGATATCTAGATTAGGAGTGCTCCCTCTTGAGAAACACGCTGTAATCATGTGTATCAGTGGAATCTTTGGACTGCCACAAGTGGAGCCGTCAATCCAAAGTCCACGTTTAGGTTTGATTAAAACTTTTCTAAATATTGATCAGTCACTAAAGGAATGCATATGATGTTTATGTCACATGCATCTATCGCTGTTGGAGCCTAAAGATGATCTGCTGGGATCAAATCTGGTGTTAGCCCATTTAGGATTAATTTAACTTAAATGCACATGCATGCTGACCGTGCAGCTGCACCTGACACATTCCTTAAAAGTCGTGTCCATAACTAACAGATTATTATCACTGTTATCAGTCAACAGTGATATTGCAACATTCGCAGCATAGGTTCAGAGGCCCAACCAGAAGAAAATCCAAGCCTTTAATGTGCAGTAGACAGGACATGAAACAAAATAATCAAATTTTTCTGTCTGTTTAAACGGCATGGTGCTGAGCCTGGACTGGCCAGTACAGTAGTAGATGACAGAAACTTCTCCACTGCACAGGATATATAAAGTCAGTGAAATACAGATGGACCCGGTGGGACTTTAGCTCTTTATATGATTAAGGATCAGAGCAGTTGAGTGGTGGTTAGTGTTATGAGAAGTGGTGTGGCAGTATATCTACAGTACTTCAAATGTCTGCTTTGTGTTTTGTATTCATGTTGTTTTTTTCGTGGATGCTGATGGAGAAAACCGCCACTTGAGAAAGTCAGATTTTTAAAAATTGCTCCCCTTATTCAAATTTTTCAAAACAAAGTATAAGATTTTGCATTAAATCTTTGATTGACAGGAGCAAATGTGCAAGAGGAGGAGAGCAAGGTCTGCGCTGCGGTTTATTTATGAATGTCTCATTTTTAATATCAGTTTGTCAAAAAAAAATAAATACTTGATCAGTCTGAATCTAAGCCTCACTCTTTCCTTATTTGATCCTATATGCCAAACTATTTCACTGTTGCTATACCAGTTCATTATTCTTCATTATTTTACAATAAAAATCTCTCAGTGCTGCATAGGGCAGAATCACTTGCCTTTCCTGAACCATGCAGGAAATGCTGAGCTTTCAGGACAGAGCCTTATCATCAGGCAAGCATGTAGAAATGATCTCAGTAAATCAGTGAGCAAGAACAACATTAAGGAGAGAAACACATTCATGACATTTACAGTAGCAGGAAAATCAGCATCAGCTCATGAGAAGACTTATAGGGAAGTCTGCTTTATGCATTTTACAAGTGAAGTGGCTGTGAAACTGCATGAGACGATTCCTAGAAGTAACACCAACTAAAGCGACTGACATGTAATCCTGATGATAACCAGACCAAAGACAAAAAGGACAAAATAAAATTAAATCACTGTATGTAAAAGTACAAAGATTAAATAACTGCAGTATCTTTTTAAATCCCATTAACGTTTGCTGTGTTTATCTCTGACATAAGTTACTTGTGTCACAAAGTATTGGGTGAGTGGAGTTGTTATCAGCAGCTGTACACGGTCTGGTCAAAGTGCATACTGCTGATCTGCGGGGAAGCAACGAATCTACATCCATTCATATTAACTTTGGAATTAACTCTACTAAGGTAAAATACAACATTTTATGGAACTTTGCAGCATAAAAGTTGTTTTTGGTTAGGGTTAGGTCGTGTTTTACGGCGTTACTAGGCTGGACTGCTAATAGTTTAATTTTTCAGCAGGTTAAAAAAAATCTAGCGTGTAAATTTGCCTGTGAGCTTGTTCATAAGTGAGTCATTTGATCAGGCTCCTGCATGCCTGCCAATGTTTCAAGCCTCTTTCTTCCCTAAAGGAAGTTTAAGAGTACATGCTTATGTGCTGGTCATCAATGAAATCTGTTGTCTGTCATAAAGTCATCTATTTAAAATTTTATGATCTTGGATAAAGCCACTTTTGTCGTTTCAAAGGCCATACGCTATACTATTCATTACAGTCGTGACCTTTATTAAATGAGAGTCCGCATTAAAATGTTATTGATAGCTGAAAAATGATGGTTTGGCCTCCAGGTTGCAAGAATGACTCGAGAAAAAACTCAGCTGAAGGAGTTTTTAGAGTCAATAAGTGTTCTGCAGTGGGTGCTAAGCTTTCTCCTCTTGGGTAAGAAGTTGCCATACTATCCTTTTTAACGATTTCCTAACAAACATCAGTGTATTAATTGCATTATTAATTAACTCATAAAATAAATCTCTTGCTCCTTCCCAACTCCAATGCTGGTCGACATGGCATGAAAAACATCCATCTCCAGGAGTGGCTTGTATCATACTGATGGTGTATCTTATGTTTACCTCTCTGTGGCCGCTGTCTGCTCTCTACTTTGTATGGTTGGTGATGGACTGGCATAAACCCGAAAGAGGTACAGAAATTCAAGTATGCATGAAAATAGCACAATCGTGTCCAAGTCTGTGTTATGTAGAACTTCCAAACAGGTGTGCACACCAATGAAGCAGCAAAATAATGACGATACAAAAAACAAAATATGCAGTTTATACAGTAATAAAAGGCAAACCTTTTAAAGTGTGTAACAGCACACTCAAACATTATGATTTACAGTATATGCATGTATACTGGCTACATTAAACAGGTTTGCTGCTTAAAAATAGCTTTATTTTAGTTTTATCATTGTTTTTAATCACTCTTAGTATTTAGTATACAATTTCTGCATACCAGTGATCACATCAGGATACTCTTTAGCTTTGCTAACATGCACTGTGAAACTGGGACACTCAGTGTTTCTTAGGTTTTCAATGTCTCCATCAGGGGGCAGAAGAACGATGTTTGTGAGAAAGTGGAAGGTATGGGAGCACATGAGAGACTACTTTCCTGTTAAAGTAAGTTTAAATCTGGCTCTTTAAATCTGTTTACAATTGCTTGCAACACACAGATGCTTACAGCTAATATTTTCAAAAATCTCAACAAACCCTATGAAATGTCCAACTGAATTCCATGTTGGGATGTTTTTGGGGTACGGAAAGATACATTTTTACTCCAGTGTACACTTGAAACTCTGGAAACCTAAAATGCTGTTATTAGTCTTTACAAAGAGCATATTATATTTGAGGCCCTCACGCAGGGCACGCAGTCAAAAGCCTGCAAGAACAAGTGTCTAATCTTTGCCTCAGTCAGATGAGTGAAAATGGGCATGGCTGTTTAACAGCAGCAACATCCGTGATCACATTAACATTAACCCTCTTGTGTCAATGTTCTTTCTTAGCTGGTCAAGACAGCCGAGCTGAATCCAAACAAAAACTACATCCTAGGTTCTCACCCACATGGCATCATGTGTACTGGAGCCTTTACCTGCTTCAGCACGGAGAGCTGTGGCTTTGCTGAGGCATTTCCCGGGGTGCGAGCCAGCCTGGCGATGCTGGCGGGCCTGTTCAGGATACCATTCTTTAGGGACTACATCATGAGCGCAGGTATTTATAGCATGTTTTAGCAAGGGGACTAAACTACTCCGTTTCTTAGTCCGAGAAGCATTTTGCATTAGGCCAAAACAGCAGTTTATTGATCATACTACAGTATACAGTTCATGTTCTGCAGAAAAAAGTGATTTTACTTTGTGGAATGCAAATGGAAGAAAGAATACCTACATGTTACTGATGCAAACTGAATTTGAAAGCCTGTTGACAGTGTAGACCTGCATGTTACAGCTTAACAAAAAAGTCCCTGTTATGTTCCTGACCTGAACTACTGACGTTCTTACTCTGTCTGATAAGGACTTTACCCAGTCAGCAAACCAAGCCTGGTCCACCTCCTTTCAAAAAGCGGCAAAGGGAATGCAGTGGTAATTGTGATAGGGGGCGCTGCTGAGTCTCTGGCATCCTCTCCCGGACTCAACACCGTGGTCATGAAGGAAAGAAAGGGATTTGTCAGACTGGCCCTTGAGTTGGGGTGAGAATTACACACTAAGAAAGAAAATATATAAATATGTAAAACACTGAAACCTGAACTCTGACCTTCCACAGTGTTGATCTGGTGCCCGTTTATTCATTCGGGGAGAATGAGCTCTACCAGCAGGTGATTTTCGCAGAAGGTAGTTTGTGTCGCAGGTTACAGGACTTGTTTAAAAAAATCATGGGTTTTGCACCGTGTCTCTTTGTCGGTGAGCGCTTTGTTCTCATGCCCTACAGGACTCCAATCACGACTGTTGGTGGGTATTTTATTATTCTTTAAATAGCCAATACCACTTTTATGTACTGAGCCCATTTTATTCTCACACTGTACTCTTTTCAGTGGGAAGCCCAATCTCAGTGCCAAAACGTGTCACGCCCACAGACGAGGAAGTCGACCATTATCACAGACTTTACATGGAGGCCCTTTCCAAATTATTCCACGAACACAAGGTCAGCTGCGGACTTTCAGAAAATCACGAGCTTCGGATAATTTAGATATTTTGACATAAACTGTTTGCACCAAATACGACTTGGACTCCCTATGGATCTGATGTGATGAACCTATATTAACATTGAAGGTTTCCTGTGATCATCAGTCTATAAAAATGTGCCTGTATTTAAAACTGCTCATCACATGTTTTAAATAATTATGATGTGAAGCCTTTATGTGGCACCACTGTTTGTATGGAAAACACTGGAGGATTATTAGTTTAATCATGTTTGGCAATAATTTTAACAACATATGGAAAAAATATTTCTCACGTGTTTCTGAAAGCTGTACATATTTGGAATGATTCAATTATTATCTCATAACATGACATACTTTTCCTTTTTTGTTTGCATTATTAAAACAATCCCACTAGTTTTCATGAACAAAAGAAAAAAATCTTACTGGATATTGTGTTGTTTTGATGTGCTGTGTATTATTTAAGATCCACAAAAAAATTATGATGCACTTTGTCACAGATTGCTTCTTTTTATATCAGATCGACTTCACGAGTAATTTAATACTTATTACTGTAATTTGATCACAACTTTATTAATGAATCTGTTTACAGCAGTTCTGGTTGCACAATAATTACAAAACAAGCCTTTTAAGAAAAGAAATAATCTCATTACTCCAAAAAGCAGGGAGAACACAACACTGGTAAAGAGCAAAAGATGTGAACCTTCTAAAAGAAGTCCATATCATCTGGTGCATCCAGGTCGCGGTACTCAATGATGTTGCGTGGGTCACCTCGTGACATTCTGCAATGGATGGCAATGCAGTAGAAACGATCTTTTAAAGGGAATTTCAAACTTCCACATTAGCAGAAAAAAGAAAATGTTTGTAGCAAAATAAAGACACGTACAGCGGTCTCACCTGATGTTGCGCGGCTTACCCAGGTAGTCAGCTTGTCCGCGGAAGTTGTCATAGTTGCCTCTGCCTCCACCATATTGGTTGGGTGGATAAGGAGGCCCACCAGCTTCAGAAAATGATTTTAATTTGAAAAAAGAAAAAGTGTTGCGGCTTGACTGGTAAGCACATTTTCATTTTTAGTATAAAAAGGTAAATTCAGAACATACCACCGTAGCCCATCAGAGGAGGACGAGGCTGTGCAAAGCCCATTGGACCCTGAGGACCTTGGGGAGGAAACGGCATACTGGGACTGAGCAAACCTGCAGAATGAAACAGGCTCAGTGTACCTTTTTCTTACTATTCTGTTTATCTCTGTTGAAGAATATCTGTAGTTCTGGGTTTACTAGACAAAAATCTCAAACTGACCTTGGCTTGGGCCTGGAAGAGGAGGAAGTTTCATCTCTGGCAGTGATGGCCTCTTGGCATCCATGAGGAAATTGTTGAAGAAACTAACCTCCTTTTTCACTTCTTCAATTTTATCCCCATGTTTGTTCAGGATGTGCTTCCGTACAAACTCTGGACCCTTGAATTTGATTTGAAATAAAAGAATTTAAAAAAAAAAAAATATATATATATATATATATATATACACATATATATACACACACATACATATACACACACACACAGAAATAATTCTTGATTATTATTATTTTTAAATTAAACAGAACTTCTAACAAAAACTACTGGTATATCTCCTTTGTGTTTAATAAAATGCATTGACTGTGGGCATGCTGTACAGTCCTGAATACTATTCATTCCAAGTGCCAACCTTAAATTTCTTTCCACTTAGAGGGCAGAGCCATTTATCTTTTCCCAGTTCTTGTGTGTTGGCAGACACAAACTTCTCCACTTCTTCTTCAGGGTCCTTGCGGCCCATCTTCACCCCCTCTTCTTCAGACAAGACTTCTTTTAAACTAAACAAGGGGGCCAACTTCTCCTCCATCATTTTCTCCCACTGTTGCACTGTTGAATGAGGTGATGTCATCTTATCAAATTCTGAATCAACACTAAAACTTTAAAATCTCCACTTTAACTTTCTTTTGCAATCTGCATTGCCTACATTTGACATTTAGCCACTGTTTATAATAATAGGTGGCAAAATAGTCTAAGCACAGCAAATGTTTAACTAGCAAACACAACAGTTAAAATTCACGTCAACTTCAGGATGTTGGAAGATTCATTTTCACTACAGCTGAGTCAACATTTACTTTTTCATCCCAGAGGTCTCCCTCTGTGTCACGTATCATGAAAAGGGAAGAACACTGACCTTCTCCGTGTGTGATGCGGTTGGGAGGAATGGGACCACGTACATGAATCATGCCGCATCGGTTGGGCATTTCATCCTCACTGGGGTATTCACAGGTGTTGTAGTAGTCAACTGAGTGCACAACACGGAGGTACAAGACCAAACGATCCAAAACCTGAAACAACACATGGCAAAATTGGCAGGCCTAGCACAGTGAAGATACAAATGGAGAAACCTACTTTTAAAAGAGAAGATCAGATGGATATTATATCGTAAACTGTTCTACGTGTGGTAATGTAATGACCTTGACAAGTTTGTCATCCCTCTCAACAGTCATCTCTGAAGGGTTTCCTTCCTTGATGCCCTCCTCAGAATCCATTCCACTCCCGGAGCCCAGAAGCTCCTCCTCCTCAGCACTCACCTCCTCTATCAGGTAATCGGTAATATTCTTCAGGATGGGGTTCTGCGCTGGCAACTGTGGAAATAACAAAACCCCACAAATGATGATGATGGTCGAATAACTTGAGAAAAATCGGTTATATTGCATGAGTAAAGGTACTATACCTCACTGCTCTGTGCTTCTTCCTGGGACTTGTTGCTCCAAAGTTCCCCTTTCTCATCCAAGGCATGAATGAGCTTGGCAGCCAGCTTGATGTCATTGCGGAGAATCTGCTTGTGCTGAGTAATGCCATTAACATTACGCACCCTCCGAGCCAGGTCCCTGTTCACCCCCGGTGCCAGTTCACAGTCTCGCAGCTGTGAAGGGTAAAAACAGACTGGTAAAGGCCTCAGCTGAAATTCGAACGATCTCTGCATCTCTAAAGCCACCTGCAACACAAAGTTATAGCAGTGCCAACACTTATGCCTGGTGCACTTACCCGAATGTTCTGAAGGTTCCAACAGACCTCTTTGATGTTGACGCTACGGTCAAAAGTCACCCAGCAACGTCTGAAAAACCTGAAACGGTGCAGGTTTCATGTCAAAGTAATGAGTGACTACACTAATCCAACCATTTACACTTTAGTGTAGCAAATAATGCCAAGTTTTAATTTTTCCTACCTGCGCTCTGGATGGGGATCAGACAAGCAAACACGCAGAAACCCAGGGTAACGTCGACACAGCTGAGAAGAAAAAGAAACCACGCTCAGTTTAAACCAGGACACGTATCTGTTTAGTGCACTTAAAAATCTGGATCTGATAGGTACGCTTCTTTTATACAACTCACAGCAATAATCTCAGCCTTGGAGATGGTGGGAGCGATGCTTCTCATGAACAGAGAGCAAGTCCTGTGGAGAGGCCGTGGTCTAGGAGAGTCATCTTTGGGCTTTTTCTCTTCCTTCTTGTCCTCCTCGGAGTTCTCCTTAGGTTTCTCCTCTGGATCATTAGACAGGAAAAGGAGATTTATTTGATGAGTGCTAAATCACAGAAAGATACATATTATACTCCTGAAAATGTATAACCAGACACTACAGGCATGATTTCTCACCTTCACCTTCCTCTTCCTCATCCTTGTCTTCCTCTTCCTTTTTCACTGGTTTGTCAGAGCAGTTAGAGTTGGAGTCTGAATCTGAGTCCGAGTCACTCTCTGAGGCGCTGGCTTCATCATCGCTGTCCCCGCTGCGCTTCCTCTTTCTTCTTGGCTAAACAATCAAATTGAAAAACAATCAGGCCAGTTCAATTTATTTATTTCTCTTGGTAAGAACTAATTCAGCATCAGAAGGAACACTTACTTTCTTAGGTTCAGGAATTTCTTTTGCTGGTTCTTTCTCTGCCTCCTCTTTCACATTCTCTCCTTCTGCTGTGGCAGCTTTCTCTGCGCTGGCTGAGTCACTACCCTCCTGTGGCACAGTTCATTGTCATCCACAGAGCCTCGTGAAATGTCTACCGCCTGTCTAACAGAGCACACATACCTTCTCATTTCTGTCTTTCTCCACTGGTTTGCAGTCACTACCCAAAGCTTTGAGGTCTTCTCTCTTGGGAACTTCAGTGCCCCTGGAAATAGATGCTGACTTCTCTCTGTCTTCTTCCTCTTCAGATGGCAGATCCAAGATGCGAAGATCATGGTCTGTCCCCCCTTCCATTTTTATCACAGCTGAAATGCAGAAAGAACTTTATGGTTCAGCCATAGAAGTACTCTTCTAAGTACCGTCCATGCAATTAGGTCAGATCAGTTTTGCTTTTATTGTAAAAGCAGACTTAATTGTAGATACAAATGAAAACTCCACAGGTCAACAATGCTCTTTAAGTTGTTTGAGACCTCACCTGCATCCAGAACTTTGATGATGGCTGGGGTCTGTTCAATGTCCAGGGAGACATTATCAAACCAGCCATTCTCCATTAGGAAAATGAACACATTCAGACGGTTGTGCAGAGCCCTCTGGGCCTCTGCCTTAAGTCGTCTGGCCTCGTCAGGGTGGTACTTGGATCGGAACCTGTGTCCAGAGTTGGGCGTCCACAACAGATTGGGGAGAGAATGATGGGGGTTGGGATGAGCAGGAAGCAAAAGTTAGAAAACAAATAAATATTACAAGCCTATGTTATATCTGTGTATTTTACACTTTTTTTTTTTAGTTTCTTCTAATCACATTTTTAACAGAACATTTATTCTGAATACGGTTTTTTATGTTAAACAACTCCAATTCAATAAGCAATTTAGCATATGACAAAACTTTAATTTGTCTTCAGTATATCCTAGTTATTATAACTTTCTGTAATTCCATGTTTTGACTGTGGTCTTTATAGCCAATTACTCCACAATGTTAGAAGATTTGAGATTAACTCACCAAAAAAGAAAGAAAAAAAAAGGCAGGAAAAAAAAACAACAGATGATCAAATTAAACATTTACATATTCAAAACGTCACATTCAAAATGTTAGCATTAAGTGGACTACAGTTACCTTTTGTTCTGCCAGTTTAATAACAAATAAATACAGAGAGCGGGGTCTCTTCTGTGAAAGTGCGCTCCACTTCACCCCAATGGTGTGTCTGTATGCACACAAATTCGGTTTTGGGATTTGATCCGAATATAAAAAGAAAATTGTGTCGAAAAAGGATAAAACAAGAAAAAAAAAAATTTCCGTGTGCGGACGACTACATGGCTGTCTATCTAAAATCCCTGTTACTGTGTGTCTAAGAGCAACTGCATTGTGCGCAGTGCATGCCCTGTCTGTCTAAGACCGATTCTTGCGGATGAGCTCCACTTTTTCTCATCTTGAAAAAAATCGTCGTCAACGTAGTAGTCGAAATGAAGGGAAGAAAAATGGGTTATGACAAAACAGAATCATTTTGCATGATACCTGTGAAACAAGTGTCAAAGCATTAACAGACAGCACACAATTATGAATCTTGTGTTACTCCAAATAAGACAATCAACCCAAGGAACAAAGACGTTTTGGTCAAAGCACCAAATGATGACTTTAAACAATTCAGTTACACGAGACTGACAATAAACAATTAACACACATTACTTCCTAGATTTTTTTTCTATACCCAATGTCTGACTAGTGATAATATTTGTATTTCTGCCTAAGGAACTATGGATATTTATGGATAAAAAAAATTAAACTCCTAAAATACATTTATAACAAACATAAACTAATGTTGAAATTGGGTTGATTTTCTTATTTTGTCAACAAGTACTGTAGCAACAGTCATTAGTTATAAATTAACTGTGTGTGCCTGGTCCTTGTACTGGGTGAAACTGTCATACCAAACGCCTTTCCTCTCCTTTTGATTTGTGTGCATTAACAGCACCAGAGTTTAACAAGAACGTAACGGAGATGGCATATACATGCACCTTGTTTTAATGTACCAATTTCATTAGCCATCGATTACAAATAAAAACATCATCTGAATTTTTGAATAGAAGTCTAAGATAAACCCACCAAAAGGACCAGACTCAGCCTATTATATTTGCCTTTAAGTAGCAATTAAACCTAAAATGATGAAAAGGCCAATAAAGAAATAAAGAGCCAATTACATTTGGTGAGAACAACAAAAAATAACAGCTTAAGTAATGCTAATGGATCTGTCAATGCAATAATTATATTATGACTATAATAAAGAAATTATATTCTTGATAAGGGCTTATGTAGTAAAGGCATCTAAGATCGTACCACTCTTCATCTTTATGAGCCAAAAAGAAGTCCTGCATCTGCTGTCGCCGGAAGTCGATCTTGTACTCATTGTAGCGTTTGACGGCCTCAGTCTCATCCACAGAATCATCTAAGGACAGCAGAAACTCCTTAAAGCTCTTCATTATTGGAGGAGGAGGACCTAAGTCCAAGTCGTGGATGTTACCAAGCCTAATGAAAGAAAGATATGTTGGATGGAGCTTTGACTAGCTAAGAAGCTAGTTGGCAAAAAGACATATCTGAGGTAACAACATTAAAAATATATTTTTTAATGTTATGTTAAAGATATGTAAAGTAACATTTAACTTCAAAACTGAACTTAAATTAATTACCTGGCCTGAATGGGGATGCCTTGATGAGGCTGCATGAGGTGCATGTCCGGATGGCCCCAATGTTGTGGTGGTCCATAGCTGGGCCCTCCTCCACCACCATAACCCAAGTCATACCCACCACGGTAGGGGTCTCCACCATGGTCATCCCTGCCAGGAACGGATAAGGGGCTTTAAGTAAAATAAGAGATGGTTACAGAGATTGTGCAATAGTAACATTGCAAATCCTACCAGTCTCTTCTCATGCGTTTCTGCTGGGGACTCATGTCGTGTCTGGGTGGGGTAAATCTCTCCCTTCGACCTCTATCATAATCCCTGTACTCTCCACGACTTCGCCGCTCCCTGCCTCTATCCCACTCCCTGGGCCAATGATCATAATCAGAGGAAGGAGAGAAAACATGAGGAAAGAAAAAAAGGTAAGAAACACACAAGTCTATCTTTGATATCCACTTTACTCAGTGTAAGAGCAGCAAAGAGCTACAATTTATTAGCATTTAGCTGTTCATCTGAATATGATTTGGCTGTATCAGGTTTCACTGAATCCGGCTTGTGCCCAATAGCATCTCTCTTTCTAACCTGTCATTCCAGTCATCTCTGCGCCGGTCCTCTCTCTCTCTTGAACGGTCATAGTCACTTCTCTCCCGTCTGAATTTGTCCCTTCTCCTGCGATCATGGTCATCATCACTGTCTCCCATCTGCATGAAGAAAGAAAATCCAGATCACGTGTAGTATCCATTGATTATTATTAAGATGGCTACAAGCAGAATCGTTTTAAGGAAGGCTTTACTTTTTATATTAAGACCTGATAAGTGCAAAGTTTATGATTTACATCTCCCAAGAAGAAACTGCTCTGGTGTAACACAACTCAAAACACATGTGCATCTTCCTTTTAAGTGACAAGTCAGTAAACCATGTCAGCAAAATGCCCCCCATGAAGATTGTTCTCGTTGAATATTGTTCTCATTATAAGCCAGGGAAACTGTTTCCTTTATTTTGTCTTCAGTATGTGGGGTTGCCACATGGAGACCGGGACGGTACTTATAACAAGTGACTATTAATATTTGACCTTCTAATTCAAAAGGATTTTGGTGACGGCAGTCATTCAAACAAGGGGGACCGTGAACAAGGAAATGCAGATAGTCTGTCACAGACGACGTGCGTAACTTGCCGTAAAGTGATTCCTTTGTCTTGCATAATAGCGATCATTGATATAATCAGACTGGGATTTACAAAATTTACAAAAAGAAAAAAAAAAACAGATCAAAAGTAGTAGCTATCCGGAGATAGGCCACATCAGTCGCCCGACCTGAAAATTCGTGTTTCAGGGCGAGTTAGGACCCTCGATAATGCAGCCATGTATCGTTAGCCACTACGCTAGCTGTGTGAGTTAGCTGAAAATAAAATGAAATAAATAAAATAAAATGAAATAAACTGAATTACGGTCCCATTCTACAGACCTGTCTTATTCTAAATAACAGACCAACTGATATAACTGAGGAAAAGTCAATAAATTACGATAATACCTTAACAATTACTCGTCTGTATGGCGATCTCGTTCGTCTCCCTCTTTCTCCGTAGCCTTCACGTTTTCTTGTTCTTCGCTTGGAAATTGGTGAACTAAACATGGAATTAGCGCCACCACCTGGTTTGGAGTGTAAGCCACAATTTATCACCTCCGCCTAGGTAGCGTTTACGTGCGTGTCATTCTTTTTGGTTGTAAACGCAACAACTCGAAAAGTTTTGAATGACTTTTATACTGGGGTCACGTGACCAAACAATTCAAATTTGGCTTACATCCTCCAAGGTCTTCAAGGTCAAATGAATGATTTATTGGTCAAAAATGAACAAAAATCCTTATAACTTAGAAACTATGATTATTAAAAGTGCAGTGTGTGTTGTCAACATATAGAAAGATTTAAAATATCAAGTCACATTTGACCTCTGACCTTATCTTCAAGGTCAATAGATTGATCTGAAGGTCAACGGGATAATAATGCTATATAGAGCTATTTAAAACTATGTTTCTTACTGCTATTCTTTCTACTGACCACATATAGGCATAAAGGGAATGATATATGGGGATTCTAAATATTACATTACTTTGGATTTTCTTTAAGGTCAAATAAAGTCAAACATTCATAAAATGTCTTTTATGCTGCATTTGTTTGTACTGGTAACATTTAGGAAATGCTACTGGTATATGAGGATTTTAAACATCACATTATAGTTTGTGTCCAAATGTGTCACATTTTATATTTGAGCTCACTATTACGTACCGTATTTCAAGTTGACCCTAAGATGTGTTATATTTTTAAAGAAAGTAATGTCAAAAGCTATTTAATAAGTTCAAGTTATTCATTTCCAGTTATTTACCTATCATTATACCTATTATCTATTACCTTTCCTAGATAATTTTTATGACCAGAGAGTGAGCTGACTTGGTGGAGGTTTGCACCCCAGAATGCTTAGTTTTCCATCTTTCACACCGTTTGTGGTTTTTGCCGTTTAGAAAATCTTCTGTTTTGATAGTATGTTTACACATAATTTAAAGGGAAAGATTATTTCAGCCCACACCAGCCATGGTTTTCATAGACCCAAACCTACAACACATATACAAGAGTACATATACAATAATCAAGAAAGGGAGATAAAAGTGAAAACCCAACACTGCAAATGCATTGGAAAATATGGATAATAAATGGAACGTAGGTCTTAAACATGTAAATTTATCCCCTCATCTTTTTCAGATCAGAATTTTCATTCTCATTCTCTATGTATAACACACAAGTTATAACACATCAGTACTTCTTCAATATTTTTTATAGTTTTCCCTCTGTATTCACTTCAGTTCAATTCAATTTAATGGATAGCGTGAGAAATATAGGGGAGAAAGACCGGACAAAAGAGTGGAAGAGAGCCAGAGATGAACAATAACAGCGAGTGAAAAGACGTGAGTGAGGAAGAAACGCTCGGTGCATTACAGGAAGCCCCCAGCAGCCTAGACCTATTGCAGCATATTAAAAGGAGGATTCATGTCCACCTGATCCAGCCCTTTTCCTTTTATCAAAAAGGAAAGTTTTAAGCCTAATCTTAAAAGTAGAGAAATTGTCTTTGAAACCATGAAACCTGAAGGCAATGCCCCCCGCTTTAGTGGTCTTCTATGACCTTTCAGGTCTCTTTGGTGTTGCTGAGCTGACCAGAACTTCATCACAATTCACCAGAATGTTGACTTTGCAAAACAAGCTTTTGCTGTGTCTTCACCTGCACCAACCTCTTGAAAAGCTACCAAATGCCAAACACTTGGAAATAAGTGTTTATATTTAATCTGCCAAATTTGCCACGACGTAATAAGGGAACAGGTCCAACTTGGCCATAAAACTGCTTTTAGATAATTGTCCACTTGCCTTTGAGCTCTGGAAACAAGAGACTGTGTATGTAGAAAACAACTGGATACTATTAGAAGAAATAAATTAAATCCAATACATTTTGCTGGATTTGCTGTCTTTAGGGTTCTATAACTCTTATCCAAGATGAGTCCATTGTATACAAGACATAATGTATGACTGTAAAATTGCTGTGGGATTACCTTATGTTCTATTGAACACTCATCAATACCATGGTCCTTGAAGTGGTTCTATAATTTAAAATTAATTGTTGAATCATATATCATCTACATTATTATTGAGCTTATTCCAGACATAAGCCGTACCCTGCCTTTCAGTTTTATGGTTACTCATTAAGACTTGATTCATTAAGGCTTTATGCATACGATGAATTCAAGCCATTTAATCCTTGTTAATTTCAGTATTTCATGTCCCTTTAATGATGTTAAACCTTTCGAAAGATAGAAAAAGATTCATTTAATCCTGAATTTATAATCTCTCACAGGTTTGATCTGTGTGTGATATCTGTGACAGCACTGATCCCAGCGTTCCCACAGCGCGCCGTCACTTTACATACATGATAGCCATGCATAGGTTAGCCACCGGATGGATAATGTTCGGGACTAAAGGCAAGTCTGTCTCTTTAAGTTTGTTTCCATATGAGGCGAGAATTTATTCATTTCAGACAGCGCATCGTCACATTTAGAGTTCTCCTCTAAACCAGAAGAACCTTTACAAGACTCTTCTTTAGCAAAAAAAAGCTTGGCTTTGCTGCAAAGAATCTCGAAAACTCTTAAAAACTCAGAACTTTCTCTGGAAAAGATGCCATCAAGCTGCTCTTTGCTGAGATCATCTTTCCTGTTAGTCTTAACTTTAATTATGCTTCTGGATTCCAGAAAGATCTCCCAGGACGACAATGAGGTAAAGTACATTTTCTTGTTACTTTATTTGCTGACTTTCATCACAGAAATAAAAACCAGAGGTAATTTATTGACTGTACCAAGAGAACTTACACCCTAGTGTGATATGCATTTACTTTAATTTTCATTTCAGCAGAATTCTTCCTTGGGCGAGTTTTAACTTCCTTCTAAAATAATTTAATCTGATATTATCTTACAAATTATGTTGATATGAAACAAACAAAGTGGTTTAAGGTTCAAATGTTTTTTGAAATTATCAAAAAATGCAAACAGCTTTTTTTTAAACCTCAGATGAAAGTAAGTTATTAGATCTGGTTCTGGTTATATCCTAGATGCCCTGCACTCCTTCCATAAGCAGCTTTAATTAATTCTTTGATTGATAATATTATTTTCAGTGTATTGTCAGGCAATGCTCTTTTATTATCCTAACAATAATCATAATAATATTGTAGAAATAAAAGAGAAAATAACAGTTTTTACTATTCACATGTTCACAGGCTTTTCTGGGGAGTCCTTATCACCCGCACATCATCTCCACTCCTCTGGAAGCCAATGCTGGTCCTGGAGAAGATACCCCTACTTTCCCACAAGTGGAAGCCACGTTTCTCATGGACTATAAAACGCAGGCTACTCGAGTGTGGCCTGAGAGTGTTATCCTGGACTACATGAGGCACCAGTTAAGGTTCAAAGGACGAACAAAGAAAAGCACAAAGAAAGGATATATTTGGAGGTTCACTGTCTAGTGAAAGTAAAACGCAATAGTGTGAGATCTAATAAACTACTTCTTAAATGTCATCGTTTTCTGTAAGTTTTTTTTCTACATCTGTTCTATAGCATCTCTGATCTGTTGTTAAAACTAGCCGCATAAAACTGAAACTCGTCAGGCATTTCAGGCAATTTTATTTGAGGCAGTGTTTAGTCGAACCAGAATCATCTTTCCCAGTTGGAGCACAGACTTACAGCCATCATTTGTTGGATAATGACACACCTGTTTTATAGCCAGGTGAGGCCTGTTCCTTGTTATTTCATGACAAACAAAACATACATAATATTTTAAATTTCTTCAAAGTGTTGAACTTATATTTTAGCATTTTTTTTTTAGCATTATTTCCATAGTTTTGAACAAAGACATCACAATATCTACCCAAGAAACAAAACAAAAAACATCTAAAGGAGATGAAATTCTAGTGAAATAATATAAATAAAATAATAGTAAAAAATCCTTTTGTTAGATTAAACGAGGATGATAGAAAGACAGAATTATGAGAAAGGAAGAAAGAAAGAGCTAATGAGCCACGGCTAACCACAACATCTGTCAAACATGATGGAGGCAGTATTATGGTATGAGGTGCCAGAGGGACTATATAAATTGTGTGTGCTGATGATGGGACTGGTGATAGAAGGAGCAGGATGGATTGTGAACTGTTCAGAGCTGTACCCTCTGCTCAGATTTAGCGAAATGCTGCAAAACTGATCAGACGATGCTACGCAGTGCAAATGGATAACAACACAAAGCAAACCACAAAAACAACAGTTTGCTAAAATGGGATATTCGTCAAAGGCCACATCAGTCACCCGACCTAAAGCCAATACAGCATGCTTATGCTTAACATTATGTTGCGTTGTCCAATTACGTTTGAGCCTCTGAAAACAGGGGACTGTGGGTGTTAATGAAGTAGTTTTGCAAAACCTGCAAAAAGTCTGCGCATTAATCACATCTTAACTGTTTAATCTGAAATGCATCGGGGTGGTTTTCAGTGTAATTATGCAAAAAACCCATGGAAGTAACGTCAGTTAAGGTTCTACTCCTCTCCATGCTCCAGTCAAAGAGCGCCTTTAAGAAATCAGCAGATGCATCTTCAGATGTAATTTGCACCAAGAAATGTCAGCTCTGCTGCTCTCTTGACTAAAGTTGCATCAGCTGACCATGAGCACAGACTCTGCAAGAGGACAAAAATGAGTAACTTTGGGAAAACATGGAGGAAAGGAAGCTGATTAATATTTCTTATATAGGAAAAAATATGTTTAATAATGCTGGGTTGTTTTTTTTTTTTTCTTAAATTCAACTTGGATCATTAATAAAACATTATTTTTAATGATTAACTTTAAAAACAAACAAACAGTGAGGTGGGGGTATATTTTCCCCTTTCTGGAGGACTAGAAGGAGACTGAGAACCAGAAGAGTAACTAAAGAAAACATCAGATGAGAACAGCTCCGCTGATAAAAGCATGGTTTAAATATTATTATAATACATTACTGACCTTACTATATTGCAAATATTTATAAAAGATAGCAGGTGTTCTAATAACAAAGTAACAAAGTCAAAACTTTTCAAGTGGCTTTATTAATAAAATTATCACGTCAATAACCATTTGTAAGGAAGATCTACTTAAGTGTTCTCATTTAAACGAACAGTAACACAGTCCTACTTTAATATCATTAACCCTTCCACAAACAAGATCTTTATTGCAGCTTTTCACGGATAGTGTTTCAACATCTGAAAGATTCCCAATCCTGCTTTACACATGGAAATTACACTTGACACTATACATTTATTATTTAAGTCTGATAACCTAGGCACAGTCTAAAAAACAAAGAACAAAGAATGAAAAAACGAGTGGGCATTATGATGTCTGTGTGTTTCGGTGAACAGTCTCTAAAACTCAGACATAAAGAGCAAACAAACAAAAAAAAAAAAGTACAGTACAAAAGATAGTTTAAGTAATTTGTAAAAAGGAGGAGTTTCTATATTTTACAATACAGACTATTGCAAACAAGTCCCAAAGAGACCTTAGAAGTGTTGAGTCTTTTAGTCACTAATGAAGGAATGTATTGATATGACAGCCCTATTCATTCAGAAACAGATTTAAAAGGTTTAAAAGGTTTGTACGTCTCTTTGAAAAACATCAAGGGCAAAGACCTCACCAAGGTCATCTCAGAAAGTGGAAAATCAAACCACAGCTGCTCGGCTTTCAGGTGCAAATCAAGCATGACTATGCGAGCTTACGTTATCATTACAGGAGCCAAACATGTGGAAAGCATTTTATTTTTAATTATTAAAAATAAAAAAAAAATAAAAAACCCACCGATGGATGTTCACACTGATGAATAAAATGCAAGCTTTCCAAACAGCAGTCTTAAAGACAGCTCGATAAGAGCAGTGTGGGTGGAGAATCAATCAATCAATCAATTTTGTTCAATTTCCAGACATTTAACACAGACATGTCGATGAAGGCCAGTATAAGGCAATGCTCTGCTTTTCCTAAAACCACCACCTGTGTCCCAGTTTCTCACATTATTGTTCTACAATTTTTTATTTTTTTATTTTGTTGTATAAAAAATAAAAACAAAAAAAAATGAAAGAAGAAAAAACATAATTACATACATTTAAACAGATTCGAGGAAAAACGCTAAAACACTTTACAAGACCACAACCCCATTACCTTATTCTTATCGCCACCGACAATTTATTGGAGTGTAAACCTGAGTTTGATCAACAAACTGTATAAAGCTAAAAAATAGTTTCCTTAAACTGCCCTCAACCGCAGAGTATTAACAATGTAAAAGCAGCAGTAACGTTACATATCTCCTATATTTTACTGTGACTTAATTCACTATTAACTTCTCATATTTCAGAAAACTTGGATGCAGAGTTAAAATGTGTGAAAACAGAACTAGGGGTATTATAATATAAAAAGAAGACCAATATTACCCCATTATCCTTGTTAGAAAAAAATAAAGATAGGAATTATTAATTTTAAGACAACATAAATCCTTCATACTCTACTAATCCTAAACAGAACCTTGCACAAGGTAAGATCCCATCCCATTTTTGCACAACTTTGGCCACGAAGACTTCATCTACGGACATTTCACTCTACACTGTCAGCAACTCAAGGGATTGGTAAGTGATCTGGACATTTTGTACTGCACTAGTGATCCAGTTACAGCGGACATCATGCTTGAAAGCTAATGGACTACAGTAAATGTGTGGATTTCAGTGGTTTATACTCAACATTGCACTTGGTAAAACTGACCAACCGCAGGTTCTGCATTTGTTATGACACTTGGAAGAACTCCACTGGTTATTGGGTGACAGATTTTTAACAATCAGCACTAAATCAGTGAACTAACTGTCAAGCTAGCCACAAATCCGAAAACAATTAATTTTTTTTTCTCAATAACAATACGTATGAGGATAGAAACTTTTTTGTCCTTCTGGTCAAACTAAATAATCTCATTGTAGCTAATTTCTGGCCATCAGATCTCCTCTCAGTCCCTACCAATGAGCTGAGCTGTGTCATCATCAGAGTGGTGCCTGCCCTCTCCTGTGTCATCACTTTCTGAGTCTGTGTCCTCCACCGGTGAGTAGTAGCCTTCATAACCTAGGATTGGTGAGTTGCAGTGTGCAGGGGAGGTGAGGCACTGGGCGGTAGTTGTGGTGGTGGTGGCTGAGTAGGCCCCTGGGCTTCCTGTGGGTGACCCCGGGTTGGAGGGTCGAAGCAGAGGAGTGCGCTCCGAGTCTGCGTCACCCTCTGGTCCTTCTTCCTCTCCACGTCCTCCAGTTTCTGTCTCAGACTCAGACTCGGACTGCTCAGGGTTGTTGCGGGTAACGCGCTGTTTGCACACTGGACACGTCTTCTTGGTCTGTGTGAGCCACGGGTCTACACATTTGCAGTGATAGGCTGAAAATCAAAAACAGTTTGAGGAAACTTATGAAAAACCTACCAGAGGATGATAAATACAATATTAAACAAGAGTTTTTAAAAGATATAAAAAAATTCATATTTTAGAAAATAGGATGGGATTAGATGATTGATTGAAGTTCAGTGCCTCATCAACACAGAATATCAGATATTTACCATGTGAACAAGGCAAAACGCGCAACTTGTCCCCTTCTTCATACTCATCCAGACATATTGCACACACATCATAGTCATCCCCTGAAAGAGACTGAATGTTACCAGCTCGCATCATTAGACATAAACGGGCATGTAACTCTCAACGCGTGTAAAAGTCTTCCCAAATGATTAAAAAAAATAAAACACAGCCTTCAAATTTACCGTCACTTCTTAATATTTAAAAAAAATATTTATTATAATAACAGCAAAAATGGTTACCTTTACTGAACTTGTGTATTGGAATGCGTTTCAGCTGTTCCTTGGACAAACGATTTTTCCTCAGCCTTTTTCTGTATTGTACACATCGTATAATCTGAAATATGGAAAAAAGCTGAGTTTTATCGATGGAAAAAAGATTTACAGTGACGTCTCAACACTTCCCTTAACCCTCATGGCCCGCCTCCCTAAGAAATAACAAATAAATAAATGGGGGAAAACTGTTTAATGCTCATGTACTCATTATTACAAAAAGGGTCGTTTCTCTCCTCTGATGTGTTTGTGGCAGGCTCTATTCATGTGTGCTCTTCTTCATCTGCCCCTCACTTTGCCACACATTAAGCTAAGCTGAGCAGAGAGGAGAGACCGATAAAGTGAAGGTGACATTACGCAAGTGGAAAATAACCAGATTAATTTCTGTAAGTTTAATAAAAGCTGCCTAATAGACATCACTGGGTTTGTTCTTTGTGTTCATGTTTGACAACTATCATTAGATGCTAAGAAGCTGGATTAGAATAAAGACACAGAGATATGTTGAGTTACAGTTAGGTCACTCTTTTATAACACAAAAAGCCTCTACTACCTCTGGTCCACTTTCATCATGTGTTACTGTATAAACGACCCAGAAAAGATCAATTCATACTTACGAAAATAGCAGACATGACAAGAATGATCATGCACACTACTCCGGTGAAGGGAATAAGGTAGTAGGAAAGCGGAAAAGGAAACTCTGGCTTGAGAATCACATACGCCCTGCAAGTCAAGAAAAGAAAAAAGTAGAAATATGTTTGTTTCCGCAAACCTAATACATATAAACAGATCTGCCTACAGGTTATACATTTCCATATGTAAATTCTGTAGGCAAAGTTTCTGTACTGGAAACCTTCTGGTTTCCCTTTGCAATCTAAGGTCTGTGGACCAACAGTGTTTGAGGTTGCAGAGCAAAAGAGCGAAAACTTTGCAGAAATTCAATCTCAAAAAGCATTTCACAATCACAGATGCAATTTGATTAACAGAATGCTCTTTCTTATTTACCTGCATTAGTCACGTGACATGATAACAGACAATGATATAAGCTCGCTACAGTGGAAAGTCTGAAAACTGGCCTTTGCCTGAGAAGCTAAATCAGCAGCCAAGCCAAATGGTTTCCAGATTGGTACAAATCTAATGCTGACAATTAAAAGTTGGTTTAATCTACAGTTTATGTTTAATATTACTGGTATTGTTCTTTCTTACCCCTGTTCTGGAATTATGTAATTCCTAAGAATGTGCGAGGCATAGTAGCTGGTGAATACAGAGGGAATATTAATCTGCTCTGCAATAGTTTCTGAAAAAGAAAAAGAAAAATACAAAACAACAAGAATCAGACACACACAGTAGGACAGTACAATAGCAAATATTTATATTTGTAATATATGTTTTCCCATGTATATAATAGCACAAATAATTACCATTGCTGTAGTTCATATTGAGCAGAATTTCTGAATAAATGTTGTGAACGATTGCGGCATCGTATCCAGCTTGCTGTGCATTTAAAACCTGAAAAAAGTTCCTTACATTAGAGCAGTGTGCTTCTCAGACAACAAATATTCAGTGTTAAACTCTGCTTACCTTTATATCAAAGTTGCAGTCATAACGTTTGATGAGAACAACAAATTTGGTAGTTGTGGCATTAAAAGATGGGGGCAGTGGTGGGGGAGGGTCTATTGTTGTGCAAGCATTAGCTGGATGAGAGGCAACCAAAACTCCCTAAGATACAAAGAAAAAAAGATGCATCATTATAAAAGAAATCAACCTGCATTTTACCATCTGTACTCCTCCTTCAACACTCAGTTCTCACCATTATTCCATCCTTTGGAAGTGCAGATCCAAACAAAGCAATGCGGTCCTCAAATATATTGGTAATATTGCTATAATGCTGTAAATACAATATACAAACACTATGAGAACAGGCAAAAGTTTCATAAGAGTCTGACCAAATTATATGATTTAAAACTCCAATTCTACTTACAGCATATATATCGGCATCTGTGGGCAAGGGGAGCAGTATGCTGCAGAAAACCAGTATAAGCACACTCAGTCGAGTTCCCATGCACCGACAGCCAAGCTGCACCATCCTTGGTTACTTACAGTTGAACTAATCTATAAAAAGAAGAAGTCATGTTGAACTAGAGATTTATGCTTCAGCAGGAAATCTACACCATAGCTACATTGTAACCACAATCCCTTCTGAAACCCAACAAAGTAACATACCCCATCATCTGACGAGCACCTCCCTACAAATATAACTGTACCTTGGGTGTGCACAGCCTGCGGCTATTGTGATTGGCCTGTTCAGTACTGATGATTCCTCCTGTGCATTTCTGGCTACCTTTTCAACAGTTTTTATTTTAATTGATCAGTCAGAGAATAACAATCATGATCTAGATATGAGATCAAGTAGCTACAGCATTAATATAAGGGCTGTGGCCCCCCACACCCTCTAGCAGATCATTACATGAAGGTACCTTTTAAATACAAGCGCGCTCATGCTCACAGGTGTACACACGGGTGCTCACACACACACAAACTACACCCTTTTTGCTCCTACCTCAAAGCACACTGTGCGCTGTCGATCTTACGTGCTGCACGTTAGTATTTACTGTGATATTCCCATAGATCATCGTGATGTTGTTTATTATGTTGCTCTTTTTTTTTCTTCCGCTTGTTTTCTCTTTTTTCTTTCTCAACAGGTGATTGATATATGTATTTTTTGGCTGCTTATTTTGTTTGTTTTTTGTCCTTTATCCCCGTCCCTCTTCCCCACTGTTTTTCTTTCCATCATTCTTTCTCCCCTTTCTTTTCCCCAGTCAAGTCTGTCCCATATTTAGCAAGTGAAAATAAAATAAACAATAAAAGGTGGATCAAATAGACCAATACGGCAAGGCTGGGATGGTCCATTTGGTAAAGTAAATCCGTTGGGCATCTTTCTTCGCCTTTAGACAATAATTCTGATGGCAAAAGAGCAAAACGGGACAGGCAAAAAAAAAAAAAAAAAAATCTTAAATGTCAGCAAATTCCACGAGGGAGATTGCTGACATTGTTGGAATGGGCGTGATAGAATGAGCAAAGTGGAAAAACTAGAGGAGCAAATATTTTTGTCCTGGAAAAAAAACAAAAAGAAAAAAAAACTGACCAGAACAAAGAATGGAGAAAGAGGAGGGGAAAAAGGTTTCTACTGGATGGCACCGCACATAAAATGTGATAATTAACACATGACGCACCACGCACAAGCATAAAAGCTGGCAGCCATTCATGTAGGTTATGTCGCAGGCTCTGCAAAGATTCACCACAGAAGTCTATGTGATGCCTTATTATGCAAATTTAAATAGTTCAATCTAAGTAAATCTGTAACCTGATTCATCAACAAAGAATGAAGTAACCCACCATCACGCATTTACACGAACTACATTGTTATGGAGTAGCAAGACAAGTACTTTTGGAGGTTATTGCAATGTTGTCCTCCTTTGACTTATTTTAACCCAAGCTAATTGGTATTTTCACAAGCAAAGGAGCATGTTTACATAAAACACTTAAGTCCACTGACTGTTTGCAGTTTCCAGAGGTTTGCTTTGTTGACACTCCACTTTTTATCACTTTAACAGAGATAAGTAATCTAACCAGTTGTTTGGAAGCTTTGTGATTTACCACTCACATGTAAATCAGAAGAACCACGGATCTGAAGTAGACTACATCTACATATTCTCCACATATCCCCCACAATTAAACACCCTTTTACATGGAAAAGTATGAATACGCACAGTATACATTCAAGGCCCTTATACAGGTACAGATGAAAACAAGCCAGTTGACTCAAAGTGTACTCAACAATGCGGAATCTGAATGCACGTACATGTATACGCATACCTTCAAGAAAAAGGGATTTTAAACGACAACACGCTCGCTAGGATGAGGTAAAACAAGTGAGATTCTTTTTAGCAAGATAGTAACATTCCCCAAAGGCCACATATGGTTTGTGTCACTAGTTAGCCATTTAACCCATATAGAATAGAATAGAATAGAATAGAATAGAATAGAATAGAATAGAATGATCCTTTAATTGTCCCACAAGGGGACATTTGGGTGTAACAGCAGCAAGAAACACACATATACAAAACAAAGAGTACACAAGACACAGAACAGAAACATACACAATTTTTACATATTTACATCAATTATACTGTCTCATGTCTTTCTAACAAAACAGGAATGTAGCAACTTTTTGTCGCTTTTGCTGTTTACAGGAAGTTGACCTGGTATCTTTGCAAGGCTCTGTCGCAACAATAAAACTCACATGACTTAACTATGCAGTTAGGTCAAAGGTCAAAGTAGACTGACTAGCTGAAATGCGATTAGTATGCAGTTAAGGTCAGTTTCTCCTTAACTCTGACCAAAGCACAAGTAACATTATCTCATGTGTTTATAGTGTGGGAAGGACATACCTCAGTATCCCGCTAATAAGTGCAGTGGGAGGTTTGTGACCTCACCTGAGATTCTCACATATAACCGTGTTTTTTTTTTTTATCTCTATCACCTTTTTTTTTCTTTTTTACTCCACAATTATCTCTAAAGAGTTAATAGTTCCACGACAAAACGACAAACACAGCGAGGATTAACTAAACGTAGTTGCCGTCTGGCTAGTATTAGCTGACGTTAGATAACAGCTACGATGTCTTCGTAACAGATACTCGTATATCTATTGTTCAGCCCATTCACAACGTTTTATAGAGAACTAACAAAACAAAAACCGATGATACGTCGAATAAAGACAACATACACTTCCACCAAGTTGTGTTACCTTACAGCTGCTGGGTTTGTTTTGTTATTGCTTCTTCTTCGGTGTCTTCCTCGCTCGTCGTCTTTCTTCTTATTTAGGTTCTGTTGGTGGTTGGCAGACCAGCGTTCAGCTGCTGTACCGCCACCTATCGGACTGGAGAGTGAAACAGTAGACGGGAGTTTTGCAAGCTGTGTGTTTAAAAGCTGAGTGTTTAAAACCTTTGGTTACAGTAAAATGAAAACAAAAATCAATTTCAAGTACAAATATAAGGTTTCAACATAGAACGAGTGCATGAAATTAAATTCCTGAGTGTGATAATAAATGAAAAAAGTTGCTGGAAGTCAGAATTTATTGGCCAAATATAGTAATCGGGCTACGTTTTTATCTTTGCTCTCAGTGTAAATAGCATAGAAAAACAGACATTACAGACAATAGCAAAATGTATAGCATATTCATATGTGCGATGTGCAAAGTGTAAAGCTATTGGGATAAATTATTAAATAAATAATGGATTGCTAACTAACTGGTTAAGATATCAATAGTATACACGGATCTCACAGTAATGATATTCAAAACAAACTGTGTTAAAGCATTTCAGTCTTGCCTAAAGTGAGGCATGTGAGACATCAAAAAGCACTTTACATTCTTTACAATTCTTTGGTTTTACCTTGTTAAGTTACTGTGTGGAGAAAATACTCATCAAAGGTCATTACAATCACTGTATGTATTGAAAAAACAACAAAAAACAAAAACAAAACAAAGATCCATGCGAATTGTTAGTAATGTAAAGTTGTATAAACAAATTGATCCATTTTTTTAACAGTAAAATTCTTTAATCTTGCAGAATTCAAAACAGCATGAATGTAAGAAATGAATTGTTGCCAGAAACCATTCAGAAATTGTTCTGTGATAGAGATGAATGGCTACAACTTAAGGGGTACAACAAATTCTAAGATACAAAGAATTTGGACTACTTAAAGAACTTTTTCTATATCCACATGTGGCATAAAATCATGGAACAGTTTAATGTGGAACAGTTTAACAGTGGAATTAATGGTCAAACATTACTCAGTTTACAAACAAATATAAATAGATTATTATAGAGGGAGGAATGTAGAGGGCTGATAATCACACAGTGAATATTCAATGTACAAAATGGATTTTTTTTGTCTTTGTTGGTGAAGTATATAATGTCTTATGTATGTATTGTGTGTGTAGACTATATACAGTTATGTTGTACGAGGAAATAAGGTTTTAATTTATTCTGCTTAAAGAAGACTGCTGCATGTGGATAGTACTTCAGTGCTGCCCTCAAGTGGTAGGATCTCTGAAGTATCACATGCAGTGTTTTTGCTGTTGTCAGTCTGATGCCAGGACCTTATCTTCAATGGAAACTCCAAGCAAAATAAATAAATAGAGCTTGCATATATACTAGGAAAATGGACCCACTCTCCTTTGTGTAAAGATGCAGCTTTTCATCAGTAGTGTCAGGCTAGTCATCAGAGTATCAGAGCACAGCGGTATAAAAGAATGACAAAGAATCTACATTTGGATGAGCTTTTGGATAAAAATCAGCAGCTGTATTAAACGTGTCCATACACTGTTCAATGTTAAATTTCTTTCCGTATTTTTACCCTGTTGCTTTCTAAGATAATGATGCTGATAGCAGTGATTTTATTTGCTTGAAAACATAGAATCCATGCATGCTAATATCTTGCTTTTTGACACTAAGGAAACAAATGACACTGGGGAGATGACATTTTGCATCATGATGGCCCCAAGACTTAAATAAAGCTAAATAAAATAAAATAAAAATAAATAAAGAGGGAATTATGCTTAGTTTTAGTTTTATTTGTTAGTTTGGTTTAAAAAAAACCCCCAAATATTACAACTTTCCTGATGAGGCTTTGATGGACGTGTTTATTGAGACTCTGTCCAGAAGACTGTGAGTCAGCTGCTTTCAAAAGGTTGAGTTTTTATTGTAATATCTGGACTGATTTTCCTGAATGGCTCTCAAATGTACGGCTCCATACATTAATAATAAAAATGACTAAAACTAATACTGAAACAAAAGATTTTCCCACAAGAAAAAATCAAATGAAAGAAGAAAATTCACTGTGGAAACTAAGTGAGACTAGGCTATACTAACTTAAGAACAAATAGTGAAAGGGAGATATAAAATGTTTATGAGTGAAGATGGTTGTCTGTCTCTCTGTGATGGACACCATGGTGGTGTCCATGGTGTACCTCACTATTGATAAGATAAAATATAAATCGCAGAAAGTGAACAAACACATGAAGGTTCATACATTAAGGTATTGTAATGCACTTAAAGCTTTTTGCACTCTTTATGAGAAGATTGAAGGAACTGTTTTATGAAAGTGTTTCTCTCCCTTTTGTTACAGCAACCTGTCTGTGCAGCTTTGTCAGCATACAGCAAAGTCTAAAAACATGATAAAGAAAGCCACACCTCCTAAACTTCTCTGCAGTAAGCTACTTACCTTTGGAGTTATAAGCCCATCACCTGAGATTCAGTCTGTTATAACAATCCCAGTGGCTCAGGCTCTTAAAGCTCAGTTATGTGCACAGACCCTGACTCAAAGGGGATTAGACACTGACAGTAACTATCGAGTGAAAGTGTTTCTTGAAATTTTTGCCATATTGTTTATTTGTTGCAGCCAGAAAACACTAATAATATAGCAGATATTGCTGGATTTTGTGTTATAAACAATCTTCTGCCATAAAAAAAAATATTTCAAACTGTCCAGGAAATCAAGTAGAAAATAAAATTTATAACCTGAGGTTTGTTACTGTGTCGTTATATATTACAGAGCAGTGTTGTGTGTACTGTGAATTGCACTTGTGGTAATAAACTGCCATGAGATGTAGCTTTGGCTATTAATGGCCTTGTGCTCCTATTTTACTGAAAGCATGCAACTTATTGAATTAGATCAGCCATATTATCACGGTTAAAAAGGTTCGGGTTGGAAAGGATTCCCATGGAGGTATCTTCAGTTATTAAATGTGATATTTATGGGAAAGTAGTTTTTTTTTTTTAATCCATATTCTGTGTTTTCAGGGGCCCCAAGTCCCCCTTTTGATTGGACCTAATGGATAAGAAGCCCATGTGAGTTAAAAACAAACCAAACCTGAACATGAGGCAGAGTATTAGAAGATTTCTTGTTTCAGACCAAATTTGAATCACATTCTTACTAAAAATCCAAAGTTAGATTTAAAAAATACAATCAAGCTAAAATGTTTTTGTAAGAATTCACCCTTAATTTAGCTGCAAAAAAAAGCCCAACAAGTTAACACAAGAAGTTAATTTAATATTACAAAGTCTGCCATGTTACATAGAGTTAAAATGCTAAATTCAACCCTCCACAACAGTGCTTTCTGTTTGCCTCATCCTCTGTCAGGCTTGGTAAGTCATCTGGTATCTCTGACTTCAGAAGTGCAGATACAGTCCAGACATGCTTTCCTCATAGAAAGTGAGACACGCAACACCTAAGAATAACATTGAAAAAATGTGTATTAGCAACTATACATATACACTGATGTACTCACATGCTGCACATGAACATTAACACTTACAGGAAACCTTTCCCACAGCCCAGAGGTCCAAAGAACAGCTCTGTTGGGAGGCAAACCTTTCTACATACTCCACTTAGAGTGGGGCAAGACCACGGGAAGGATGCAGCCTCATTTAGAGCAACTGTAATTTAGAAAAAAGAAAGAAAGAAAGAAATTTACTGTAGTTTTAGGTAAAATCCTTTTGCTTTAAGCTTAAAAAACGTCAACCCCTCTTGGTCATAAACTGGGCAGAAATAAAATCTGCAGAGATCTGCAGAGATACTTACCATTTAGCAGTAAGACAACCAAAAGTGCCAAAACAATCACACGATAACAAAACATTCTCGCGTCTCTCAGTTTTGCACCAGAAATGAGGGTTCGGTGTGGATCTGTCTGTTTCAGTCAGAACGGAGCAGAGGACACAATACGAAGCAGCACATTGGTCACTGGGTTTTATATTTCCTCAATCACATTTAAGAAAATTAGATTACTGTGCCCACCTCGTGTCTAAAAGTCATGAGACAAGAATCTGACTTATAAATGTAATTGAAAGCATGCACAAGCCTTCACTGCTTGCTGGCATTAGCACACAGGCTGTCTCTTTCTATGTTAAATGACTGAGAATGCATTCTCCCATAACACATGTATTTCTGTATCTCATCTCAACATTTACTGAAGAGAGTAGCTTGTAAACAATAGTGATTTTTCCTTGCAAAGCACGAATGTTTTCCAGCATATTTGTTTAGGTTTTATTATTTTTGCACACAAGTTCAGTGGAAGTCAGGTGACATGAACATTTGTCAAACCAGTTTTAACGAGAATGTTTAATCAAATGTAAATTGAATCATAGAAAGTGCAGTTGTCGCCTTTAGATCACATTACGGTCTCTTATGCTGTGTGGTTGTGAATAGATCAGTGCTATGTAAAGCTTAAGGGAGCGTGGACTCTGGTCAGGTTAGGTGACAAGCCTAAAAAAATGAGAAGAACTGTGTGGGCGGTATTCTTTAGTGAAGCAGAAGCTTTTGAATTACGGACAAAGATTTAATTTTTCATTTCTCTTTGTTAGAGAGATGAGTTTGGAAGTTTGATCGTCCAAAGTGGTCTTAAAGAAATCAGTGCCTTGCTATGCTGGGCATTTTCTGACTGCCTATTCTCTAATGTGAGCACCTTAAACACAAGGTTCTGCCAACAGACTTTGAGATAAGCAATATCCCTGAGCTAGAACCAAATAGGTTCACGTGTCTCCATTTTTTCTTTTTCTCTTTTTGTGCTGCAGCATCCAATAGCAATCGATTTCTTTGTCTCATAATCAGAATCAGAATCAGAATCGTGTTTATTGGCCAAGTATATGTGCAGACACATACA